CGTTTTAGGGAGAGTCTGTGCGAATCTTGATCGGGCCAGGCAGGACATCAGCTCCACCTGTCAGACTTTCCTTTGTACGTTTTACTCAGGTTTCGTGGGCTGAGTGCCTGGATATGCATGGGGAATGTGTCAGGTGGTTACTCTGTTTCAGGTACTCGTTACTTGCTCAACAAGATCTTGCTTGTCCTTGTGTTTGTGTAGTGCTGGAGTTTTATATCTTGGAAGTCCGAAGGGGGTCTCAACGGAATGCAGGCAGATTGTTGTTTTCGGCCTCCCTTTGCATTCGGCATGTGAAAAAGTGCAGAGGCCGGGTTAAACATAATCGTTTGAACCCCCAGAGGCACGAGCGGAAACAGATTAGAATCCCAGCCAAAACCTGCAGTGCCAGAGTTCGTTGATGGGAAGGCAAGACGAACCTTAAGCTAATCCCCACCCGAAAAGACATGCTAGCTAAATCCAAAACCCTATAAACCCTGGCTGAGCGCCGACACCCCTAAACCCTAAACCCTAAACATGGCCATCTGCACCAGGCCGGCGTGAAACTCCGTATGGGTGAGAAGTATGCAGCCGGACACAAACTTGCCAGTGCTCGGGTGTCCTCAGTATGATCACCTGGGTCCCCAGGTAGGGCTCCTTAATATTGCAATACTACAGCTACTTGGAGGTTCATGGGTAGTTATAAATGGGGTTATAAGTCGGGTAACTATACATATAACCCATATTTGGGGGACCCATAACCCCACTTATAAATACCCATGAACCTCCAAGTAGTCAACAATGTCCCAGACCATTGTCTTGTTATGCTCGGGCCCTTATCTTATAGAAGCCTCAAGGCGCCGAAGTTTTGAAACACCAGAACCCTAAGCACCGGGAGTTGCTTAGAAGATTCTCTAGGGCTTTGCTCCAAGGATGCCAGAGGAGGGAGCTAAAAGCACAAGAGTTCAGGGTGCGTTTATTTATACATATATATATATATACATGCAGAAAGCGTCGCATTGCAGGCCCGAGTCTTGAAGCTTTCTATTTTTCCATACTATAGGCTAGGATGTTGCAAGAGTCTTGCATTATCTCTCTCCCTCTCTCTCTTTATATGTAAATGTTATATCTTATATATATATATATATACACATATAAGTGCCAAGAGCAGTTTAAAAGCCGATGACATAAACCTGAAGAGCCCCTTAAGAGTTTATGGTTTATCACATGTAGTTCAAAAGTTCAGGGCTCTTCGTTGAGGCTGTCAGGGTCTGGCATTTGCAGAGCAGTCTCTAGGATGTAGGTGAGATTTTCGGATGTGGACTCCAATCCAGATGTGCTGCATTGAGGTGCATGCTGTTTGTGGTTTCTTCTGACGCCCCTGAACTACCAGCTAAGTAGAAGGTGTCATGCCACACACACACACACACAGAGTCTTGCTCACAGCACAATAGAACGGTCCTTGGTGGGCAGGCTGACGATCAGCAGTCGTTTACATACTTGGGCCTTTATGCTCCGCATCATGTGGACACCCTACGCCCTCCAAGAGCAAAGCCCGCAAGTGGAGTGTAGCCCAGGGCAGATTTCTTACCATTGGTATTAGGTCTCTCGAAGGTTTGGCGTGCAGATTTGTTGTGCGGCGTTCCGCCCCAAAAAAACCTGAAGCCACAGAGACAAAAGAGAGAGAGAGAGAGAACCGAAGCCTCTCAGCCCTACACCTTCAGCCTAGGCCTAGCTCCTCAAAAAAAGTGGTATTCAGTATGTTCATGGTTCGCATCTCAGGCTGCGGAGGTGAAGAGCAAAGCCTTGACAAGTGCTTTTCTCGAGATTTACCTGGACAAGCATGCCGTCGCTCCCGATTTCAGGGAAGCCGTGTTCAAAGGCGCGTGCCCCTGTTCCCCTGTACTCCACACACCGGCGCACCTGCTCTGACTAAATCGCTCAACATCTCTGCTGTGCTTTTACCTTTACCGTTTTTTGGGTCAGAGCTCCGCGAGGGAGTTTTAGTTGCCAGTGATACGAACGGTTTTTTCAGGGAGGAAGTGTGGGCTGCTTCATTGGCTGCTCTTTCACACCTCAGAACTTCGCCAGGCTTGTCTCAGCTGTGAATGCTGAAATTGCTCAAGATTGCTTCAGTTGTTTGCTGATGTTGACGCTCTCATGACGAACGCATTACTACCGTTTTCCGTACTATTGCGGTTGCGAGCCGTCCTAGGCCGTCGCTAACGATTCTGGAGCCTGGTGCAGTGCGAGAAAACACTTCGAGGACGACATGGTCGTGGCGACGACATCGCCAAACTGTTGCATAGGGTACTTGGGACCTGTTCCTTACAGGAACCATTATGAAATAAAAGTCTTTACTTTTTTCTCGCTGGTTACTTCAAAGCCCAAAGTAGTTGGGGGTCACACCAAAGCTTTCGGATCAAAGCGACAATTCTCCCGCCGCCTCTCGGTGTTCCAAAATTTCACACTTCGGACTGCTCCTGGAGGCCTATCGCAGAGCTGAGCTGAGCTGAGCTCGTGGACGAAACTCGAACGGCCGACCTTGCACACAAAGTGTGGGTGTGTCAGGCCTGTCGCTGGCAGGCACACTGTATTAACAAGTATTGAGTATTGTTAGCAGCATTAGCACGGTTCTTCGTCATGGCACGCCAGGAGCAAAGCGGAATTGTGCAGCAAACTTGCTGTAAAGACAACTGCTCACTGCTCCCTTCGGAATTCGATTGCTGACTAGTCTTCTGAACTGCTGGGAGCTTCGCCGCTTAGATTTGTTGGACGCCGCCACTAGCAGCAGTCAAGGAAGGGCAGGAAAAAATCATCAACCTCAAATCAGCATGAGGAGTGGAAGCCCTGGACGAACATGAGCGAGTTTCAGTCGTTCGCTTTGTTTCCGTTCTGGTGAACAGCTTGGATTTGCGGCTGTACCCGTGCCCGATCAAGCAGGTTTCTGTACCCCAGCCGGATCGAAGTGTGTCTCTACTCTCGTATTCCTGTGTGTGATTTTGGTGGCTATTTTGGACAAGTGCAGACACGTACTGTATGAGTAATTTTCTTGGGGCCATCGGCAAAGCTCCCACCAGCAGGAGCTGTTCAGTTCTTTCATTTTTCCTTGAGAAGGACTTCCCTTGTCAAAATTATCGAGACACTTCAGCATCATTCAGGAGTAGAGTCGCGGTCTGCGGTTGCACTGGCACTTAGCTTAGGCACGCCACAGCCCCTTTCCGGGCCCCGGCAGCAACAGATTTTGACAGCATCATGGTAGTTTTAATGTGTCAGGAGTCTGCACATTAGGTTCACTAGAGGGTTCCTGTGGATGATACACGTGCATGCGCAAGTTGCATCCGTCATGATGGCGTTCACGGTCTTAACGTACTGTTGTGAGTATGGGGGAAGCCAGCACGGATTTTGAGTTCCGGCGGCTTGCGTGTGGCCTCTCCACAAAGGAGGGTGCAGTGAATGTATGCAGCCCTTTTTCTCAAAGCAAAAGGGGGCTTCTCGGACAAAAGGTGCAATTTAAGCCACAAAGGCCTGAAATACAAACATCCTACATAAGCCGCTGGTTCAGAGAAGCTCCCAAACAAGAGGATCCCTCCACAAAGGAGGACTCTGCATTCTAGACACCGTCTATTTCTGCGGCGGCTTCGAGTCAGCTAGCGCACGACGCTGGACAGACCGTTGCCTCCCAGCATATGAAAGACGATCGAATTTCTGGTCAATTCTTTTCATTCGGTGGGCAGGAGGAAGCCCAAAGGGTCTAAGTACTAATATGGTAGATACTTTGGGGCCCAAAATACCTACTATATGGGTACTTAGAGCCTTTGGGAAGGGAGCTTGGACCAATCACCAATCCTAAACCTCGTACCTGTAATCCCGCAGCTTTCCTCCCACCCTTGATGCCGCGACGCGACGATGCTTCACCCCGGTTATACACGGAGCCCCGAAAAGTGTCAGTATCCTCAATGACCCTGCGCTCAGCTAACTTGTTTTTCCAAGTAAGGCGGCATGAGGGAGGGCTGTTCATCAGAGTTTCGAGTTGAATCTTCAGGGGCTAGGGTTTCCGACTATCAAAGCAGTTTGCCGATTGCAAGACAAAAGGCCTGCGACCAGTAGCAAGCATGATTTAACGGTGTGTTGCTTCTATGACTGCCATTGTTGCTGCAAGTCCCCAGCAAGGAACCGGGCTAGGAGCCTCCCGAGCTCGCACAGCCTTCTGCCAGCCTCTGCTCCACCGCTCAGAATGCGGCGTGTCGTCCTCCGGCTCCTGAATGGCCCCGCAGGACGTGGGCGTGCACGACAGTGCACGCCTTGCATAGTAAGAGCCTCCAGCAGACTGCAACAACTTGACCCAACGGGTCTAAGTACTAATATGGTAGATACTTTGGGGCCTAAAATACCTACTATATGGGTACTTAGACCCTTTGGGTGAGTTGTCCAGAACACCTCAAAACTCAACATCCAATTCGTTCATCATACACACTGCACGTAGCTAGTTTCTGTGCTGTAGTTTACGGATAGACGAGCCAGAGGTCAATCATTCCATCGAGTGCTCAGAAGAAGCCTCGTGCCAGCATGCGATGCTTCACTAAGAGTGGAACCTAGTGACCCGTCGCTCGCTGGCTTCAGCTTTGGCTGTCGGTTTTTGAGACATATTTGTTGTTAATATCCCACCAGGACTTGTGAGGACTGCCAAGAGGCGCAAGGTCTCGTGCTTCTACGCGTGCAGGTATTGCTTAAAATGTTGGTCGCCTTGTGCCGGGCACGGATTTCTCAACATGGAGCTGCAAAAACCCCAGAATCTCTCCAAACCCTGAGACCTTAAACTCAAACCTCAAAATCTATATATATATATATATATATTTGTTTATTTTTTGGAGGCAAATATATATATATATATATATATACATACATACATACATACATACATACATACATACATACATACATACATACATACATACCACTTAGATACCCCAAGCTCAACCCAAAGCCCGCCGGTCGAAGTCAACCGTTTACACCAACGCCAGGCCTGCAGGGCCCGGAGGTTCCCGGGAAGGGGGAGGTTGCGAATTGTGCCCGCAGGATTGAAGTTCTTACCCCAACCTTCCAGGCAATATAGGGTACTAGAGCCCCTAAGGCCCTATATAGTAGGTACCTGGAGGGTTATAGGGTTATTGCTGCGGCTACATGTGAAGCATGCCTACAACGAACTGCGTCTGAACGGAGTGCATGGGCTCTGTTTATGCGGCTCGACGATGGCAATGAGGGTTCTCTCTAAAGACACATTGAGCCACGTCTTAGAATCGAGTTTCACAGGAGTCCAGGGTTTCTTTTTTGTCCATGTGGCTGGTGGTCTTTCGCTTTGGCTCAGCTTGGGGGTGCGGCCCCGAACTTCCCATTGCCTCAAAGTCTCTGGCTTTTGGACTCCAGGTGTGCGATTGCGGGTACCGATGGCTTGTTTTTCTTTGCAGGTTCCTGTGTTCTACAGAAGCGACATGCGTTTGGAGCTACCATGTCGTGCAAGCAAGTCACCATTCGGATCTTTTCAATTCCCTTTCCTACCAACTACAACATCATATTGCCGATGAAGCCGAGAAGCCTGAACCCCATAAGCCATCATTGCATGAAGCACACCGTGTCAGGCGGAGGCTTTCTGGTGCGCAGCAAAAGCTGCTGCTGCAGCGACGCGAGCCAAGTCGGCAGACCTGCCGAGGCCGTAAAAGTTCCTTGTTCTGGGGGCTGTCCGGTCTCTTTTGGTTTCGAAGCCCCAAACTCTACGGGAGAGGAATGCAGGGTGCGGTGGTTCTGATGCCGGATGCGTTGAGGAATCAGGTGTTTTCTCCGGCTTCGGAGTTCAAGTACTTGGAGCCTTTTGTGTCGGGACTGCAGTGGTTCGGGGTATGTAGGTTCACTACCCACCTAACCTTTCAAAGAAATAGTCAAGGAGGCACTGAGGCAGAAGATAGACCCTTTGTTATTTGCATCATCTGCTTCCTCTCCACAGTAGCAGCATCGCCAGTCCCTTTTCGTAGCATTCCGAACAAGGAGGCAGCTACTTCAAAGTTTCTACCGAGCCTCATCCGGCCTGAAACTGCAACGCCCGATGCAACCCGTATGTATATTGACTCGGCTCATGACTGTCTTTCATGCGTACCGGTGATAGGGTTGATACAGATGTTTTGATTGTGCATGTGCGCTGATCATGCCTGCATGGGTGAGTCTGGGCGTAGCACGCCAAGGGATTGCGGCTTCATGTCCACTCCCCAAGTATGCGCAAGCTTGAAACTTCATTGTATCTACTTGTCCGACGATCTGTGTAGACACATGAATTAGTGTGCGCAACCTTCGGCATTAAATTCTATAAGCCCTATCTTAACCCCCCCCCAAAAAAAAACCTACTTTTTGGGATTCCCTTATATAAGCCCTCAAAGGTGGGTTGTTTAGGTTCCGGAATCGCTTCAGGCACATGGAGTTGCTGAAAACCTCGGCAGAAGCTTGGAGCCCGCGGCCGGCGAGGTTGTCAAACAAGGCGGGTGTTGCTTTAAGTGTTCAAGGCCTGCGGCCTTCGTTTAGATTAGGGGCAGTTAGGGGTGTGTAGGCTTTACCTGTTTGGCCTCAGGGTTCAGTTGTGTAGAGCTTGGGATGAAGGGTCCGAGGTCTGGGTGCAGTCAAAAAGGATCTAAACGTGTTTGGGCGTTTGGGGTTGTTTTTGCTCGGGACGTAGGGTCTGCATCTGTTTACTTATGAAGGTGTCTGGGAGATTCCGAAAATAAGGGGCACCTTCTGTTGGGGTCCTTATAATGGTAGGGTACTATGTTAGGGTCCCCTATTTTCGGAACCCCCCGTTTAGGGCACTAGACATCCTTGGCTCCCTGTAGGAGCTGGAGCTGCTGCGCTATGTGCCGCGATCTCAGACGCCGACGACTGCCGGATTACTACAGGGGCCTTAATACTTATAACCTATATTACTATTTTGGGGGGGTTCCTTTATTATAACTATAGCATAATGGGCCCCAAAACCTTATTAATTATTAAGGCCCCTGCATCATGTTGTCCGTGGTGCGCCACTTCGGGCGGAGGCCGCGGGAGACACGTTACAGGATTCCGCAGAGCACAATGGCACTCAACACCAAACTGAGCATCTATTCGGACCTACAGAAGTCAACATTCTGCTAGCGATATGAGCTGGTCTTAGTTCTTGCTCTTCGGAGTATGCGGCTATCTGAAATTTGGAACCAGAACATACGACAAGCTTCCTCTTGCTGCATGCAGACATGCATGTGCAAATGCAAACGAACCATGCGTACACGTGCATGAATGGACGGACCGACGGATGGATGTGTACGTTGGTGACCGTTGGTGAACATGTGCCAGTGTTCTTGTTATTATATTATTCTTGGACGCGCAGTGCACGATGCAGCACCTCTAGATTGGTCACCAGAAATTTGGAAGCTGAGGTTGTTGTCCGCAACACCTGGAGTCCGACCCTTTGCCTTCTGCCAGTCTCGTCTTTACCCGCGGGTTTGGCAAGTCCTGGCGGTTGAAGAATTCCCTGCGCAGTGTTAGTTAATGTTACTCCAATGCCTCCGAATCTCTTGAAGTATTTGTACCCTCCCACGGCCCTCGTACAAGACCGGGTTGCTCTTGTAGTCGGTCGTGCAGTTGCAATACTGACACACACACACACACACCTTGACACTTGCACAAGTAACCAATTAATCACTGCATGTATGTTCAATCGATGCATTGAGGCAGTGCTGTTGTGCACCAACGTCAACTGTATTTGTGGTGTGTGTCCTCGTTTACAATCCCCGAATTCTGCTTGCTCTGATTCGATTCGCTTCGAAGCTTGGCTCAAGCCTACTCCATTTCGACCAAGATCCTGGCTAGGAGAGGAGGCAGGGAGGGGATCTCAATCATCCAGCGGGACATGCTTAGATCGAGGTGAAAGGCCTTCTCTATGTTTCGAATCGTAAGTCCAAGCCTTGCACGTGCCCCGCGATTCAGTCCGTGCATGGGCGAGCGGGATTCAGGCATGGTTCACGGCCAAGTTATCCAAGAGACATCTTCTGTACTGATACTTTTCCGATATCCTTACGCTTCAAACATATAGGCACAACCCGACACTGGCAAACATCTTTGAGAACAGGAGATCTGACTGCCGCGATGCTGTCCTTCAGAAGCAAAGGCCGGTTTCTGGATGTGTGGAGCTGCAGAGGTAAGCGTGGAGCTTCCATTTGTGCTGATACTGCCGCTGCGGCTGTCTCCTCCTACTGCGGCTGCGACTCCTACTTGCTTACTTACCTTGTTGCTTCCTTGCTTGCTTGCTTGCTTGCCTGCTTGCTTCTTTGCTCCCTTACTTGCTTGGTTGCTTCCTTGCTCACTCACTTACTTACTCACTCACTCGCTCTAGCTAACCTACCTACCAACCTACCAACCTACCAACCTACCAACCTACCAACCTACCAACCAACCAACCAAC